TACCAGTTTTTCAAAATTTTATATAAAAAGTTTATATCAGCAATGTCTCGGACAAGGTTTGAAGCAGAAGCTTGAAAATCGATATATTTTGCAGTATTATACTGAAAGATGGACTAAGTCTGTGATAGTCAACATTACATTTTTAAACTGACAGCAACAATCCCATGCGAGACACATTATTCTGTGTAACCCTTTACAAACGTTCTCACTTTTTATTTTTCAGACTAGAAATATTAATCCATGTGATATTTGCCTTAAAGCTAAGAATGAGTTACCAAAGCTGAATGACACAGGAGACAAACACCAATTGAAAAGAGACTTGGGAATACATCTTGAACGACAGAGGTTACTTATGAATAACCACACACAAAAACACATGAACATATCTTTACAGCTAAAATATATGTTACTATAAGCTATTTTACTATTAATGAATACTGGTACTAAATTTAACAAACACACAAGCCGTTTTTCGTAGAATACATTTCGTCACATATGCTTGTTATCAAGAATATTGATGACAAATTTTACATAATGTTTAAAGCATTGTATCTGTTTTGCTTGTTATTCTATGTTACTAAAAAAATGACACAGGAGATGGAACATTTTTCAGTTTGATTATATTTTCAATGAAAAGATATTTATTCAAATTTCATGATATATGTATCATCCAGTAACAATTTCATTTGCCAATTAAGAAATTTCATTAGTTTAAATTAATCTATAAGAGGTCAATGTATAGTCTTCAATAACAGATTAGCATGAAAAGAAAAGAAAAAAGAAATTATTACTAAGCTTAATGGCACAACAACCTAATCACACAATAAAATTCAGAAGACGACATTTAGAAAAAACAACAACAGTCGTAAACAAAAGTTATAACACGTGTTTAGCATGGACTATTAAAAGTGTATAAAAGAAATATTTTAAATTTTCAAACTAATCAGTAATTTACGATAGGTATTTTGAGCTTGTGAAGGAGATTTTTTATCCTTAAAAATAGATTTTTAGAAACACTTATTTGTTACATATAATTTTTTGTAGCAATGAAAGGAAGAACTATTACAGAAAAAGACAAGATGCCTGCATGGCACCATCTGAGGCACTTAGTATTATCGTGGATGGAATGGACCAGGCAAAGACCAACTTACCACATTTTAGAGGATGGTGTAAACCAAAGGTATTGAACTAAGTTTCACAGTCTTATGAATTGTTTTCCTTTAAAGTCATTATGTCTACGAAACAAGTAAAAGTCGCTGTTAATGATCTGTAAAGACAACTTATGTAATTTTTCTTGCAAACAATGTAATTGAAGGAAATAATAAAATGTTAAAATAGTTTTGAAATTATCCTTTCTCTTTCCCCAGACTTCAAGGGAATGAAGCTAACACTTTATAAATTACGTGCGTCCGAGGAGTTTTTCAGGATTAATCTTCATCAGAAATGTTCAAAGCATAACATATTAAAAAAGGGGTGTATTTTGAAATATGTAGAAATGTCCGGAGCTATTTAAACAAAAAGGCATAAAATGAATTAATTAGATTCAAGCTGTTTGAATCAACAATATATCACTGCTTCAGCTATTTAGATACTGCTAGAAAGAGGAGGAATATTTCATGTAGGACCTAGTTTATACATAAACTTTTCAAAACTTTTTTTTTTAAATACTCCTACCAGACATAATTTACATATTTCCCATAATTACCCTCCCCCCCTAAAAAAAATAAATAAAAATTAATTAATAAATTTCGACACTCTGAATAATTTTGTTTTTCCATATAATACAACCCATGCAAACTTAAAAAAGGAACATTAATTTTCCACTCATATTGACAAACACTTTCATAGATAAATATAAGAAGATGTGGTATGAGTGCCAATGAGACAACTATCCATCCAAGTTACAATTCATAAAAGTAAACCATTATAGGTCAAAGTACGGTCTTCAACACGGAGCACACACCGAACAGCAAGCTATAAAGGGACCCAAAATGACTAGTGTAAAACCATTCAAACGGGAAAACCAACGGTCTAATCTATATAAAAAACGAGAAACGAGAAACACTTATGAACCACATCAACAAACGACAACCACTGAACATCAGGTTCCTGACTTAGGACAGGTGCAAACAAATGCAGCGGGTTTAAACGTTTTAATAGGTACCAACCTTCACCCTTACCTGAAACAATAGTGTAACATCGCAACATAGAAAGACACGCTATACAATATCAATTGAAATGGCTTAACTCAATCAAAGACATATTAACACAAACAATCGAACATAATTTGATCTATGATACAATGTAAATACAAAATCAATAAAATAAGGGGTGAGATGTTAAACAATTTCAGAAAGACAACCATAACCTTGAACAAAATGCTGTATGTCTGTTTTATGTCTGAATGGTACTATCATATCAAAATCCCTTAGATATGGCAAAATCAAAATTAATTTACACCAAATATATCCTTATTTTAGAACATATTTCTTATTCATAAAAGAGTTTTAGGAAAATTTTTAGACTAAGATAAGTATTTCATATGCCCCACCTAGGGGCATTATGTTTTTCGGTCTGTGCGTCCGTCCGTTCGTCCGTCTGTCCGTCCGTTCGTCCATCCGTCTTTCTCGCTTCAGGTTAAAGTTTTTGGTCAAGGTAGTTTTTGATGAAGTTGAAGTCCAATGAAAATTAGTACACATGTTTCCTATGATATGATCTTTCTAGTTCTACTTAAATGCCAAATTAGAGTTTTGACCCCAATTTCACGGTCCACTGAACATAGAAAATGATAGTACGAGTGGGGCATCCTTGTACTATTGACAAAGTCTTGTTATATTAAAGATTTAACGTAATATACCTTCTGTCATTATTTTGAATTCTTCTTAATCTTTTTAATAGAGTGGATCTATGGTTTTGAAAACCCATATAACAGGAGCTATTATTCACGGACAGTCTAACCATTTTTATATTGATTTAAATCAATGGCCACATGACCCGAACATGACAATAACATGCCTAATGAACAGTTTGTGTCTGGGAAGAAGAAGTTTTCCGCCAAAGCTGTATATTCAATGTGATAACTGTGGGAGGGAGAACAAAAACAAATATGTTTTGGGTTTCCTGGCTTACTTATGTGTTGCAGGCTATGTAAAGGAGGCAAGTATTGATTATTTAACAAATGAGAGTACATGTAATACCAAGCGAATGGAATAAATCAAAGATCCCACCAAAAATAGTGGTTGACATCAACTTAGCAGAGTATATTCCACTACTGCATTTATTCTTCATATTTTAATGTTACAGGTTATATGAAATGTCATGTATTTATAAGTTTGCATTTGCACGATTGATGATAATCTATTTGCAAAGCTGTGTAATGTTAATTTTTGTCTCGGTTGCCACAAATGTCACTTCACACAAGACAAAGAATACTACTTTGAACAAATTGTCAAGATAAGAGCTCAGTTCAACCTTAATTTGTTTTAACGCTAATTCAAAAACAACTTTGTATTTTATTAAAAGGTTAACGTTTAAAAAAATAAACCTTTTTCTGTATTTTTGCTATTCTAATGTCATGATGAAATTTATGACCTAGTAAAATAATCTTTTTTTAGTATACATAGACAATCCCTGTGAAGTATTTATACTTAATAAAATGGCTAATAATTTTACCTCTATTGCATCATGGTTTTGATTGTTTTTTAGCATATACACCAAGGTATGAATAGACAAAAATATGAATTAACAAAAAACAAAAAGTGAAAGTTTTATGTTTTCAATTTTAGATCTATCTATCCTTCCTATTAAAGGGTCATACCCATGAGGACATAGATCAAAGGTTCTCGGTTATATCACAGCATTTGAGAACTTTGAATGCAATGACCTTGCCACAACTTCAAAAGGCTGTAGAAGGTAGTTTCTTGCAGACACCAATTGTGGAAGTAATGGGAACAGTGTGGGATGTAAAGAAATGGATAGATGATTTCATAAATAATATAAGCAACCACTCCTACCCACATCAGTTTTGGTAAGATCAAAATGTTTATATAGTTTCCTCAAAATTTAACAGAATGTTATGATATTGACAGAAGCTACTCCATGATTAAGAGATTACATTTGTATCATTTTTTTACAGTTTGTCTGATAAATTTACAATGTTTCTTTTACATTTAATATTTGGATAAATTATGAGGTTTAATGGTTTGTACATTAGTAACTTTGACAAACATCCATTGTTTTTTTTAAAGTAGGAACAAGGCTTTTTAAGGATGAATTGAAAACATCAGAGGAAACTTTGTTTTCTTTCTTTTTTTCATTTTACTGAAAACTTGACTCAGTTTTTGTTTGCATTTAATATTTAGAAAAATGATGGTTTTTCACTGACAGATCTATGTGTACTTCCTTTTTAGGATTCAATAGCTTTGTAAAAACCTTAATGCAGTGTTACAAAACATTAACAGAAGCATCTTAATAATCAAGAGATAAGATCTGAAAAAAATGTCTTTTTCCATTAATTTTGCATTTGATAAATGGACTTAATTTTGGCAGTCAAGATAACTGTTACGATAACAGCGGCATTTGTAGGCTAAGGACAACGTGTTCTGTTAAGTCTTTTATATGAATGTTTTATTAGTCATAGCAATACAAACGATAACAGTTTTTTTAACTCGACATGCATTTAAATCGGTCTGACATGTTTCGAAAATTGCTTGATAAATGATAAAAGTTAATTAAATTTATCAATTGGGATTGACTGATTTGTCTTCAGAATCTCATGCTTAGAATGTGTGATTAAGTCTTTAGTTTTTTTTTCATCTGCTCTCGATAGAATAATAAAACAATTGTTATATGCTTTGTTAGGCTAATGCTTCAAAATCTATGTAAAAACATCACTGTCAACTGAGTATTGTGGTATAACAAAATTTGTCACCATGAACTTAAAATATTGATAATGAAAATTGACATCTGAGAATTGATGCACTTTTTTGCTTCAGGTTGTATTGTGATCGTCCAAATCATGTAACTTTAAAAACAAGGATGTGGTCTACAGATAATTGGGCTCCAGGAGAAGATGAAATGCAATTGGAAATACTTGATTTAGATATAAATGGGGAACAAAAGATTCCAACAGGTACTTATCAGGATACTAGCTATATCATGTATTACCAAAGTTGAGCTTAATTCTAGAAATATCAGATTTCCTTACTCATTCTTTGGTCTCCAACAAAGTCATAGAAAGAGCATTAAACAAATTCAACACTTATTTATTTCATGATAATCTATTTGTATTTTGAATCCTTATGGCACTAATTTTGTTACATTCTGAGACGTACAAGAAGCCTGAAAACGCCCGGTGTTAACATTTGATGACAGAAGCATAATTTAGCTGAATTTTCCTTTTCGTATAAATAAGGTGGGTATAAAGCGGAACAGCAAATTTTGAGTATAAATGCGTTTGTGCTAAATGTAGATAAACAGTGATTATACTGGTAGACGATATATTATTAAGTCGTCATATTAAAATCTTTGTTTTTCCTTTTTTGTTTGTCAGAACTGTCAGTTTGTGTTGCCTGCTTATATTCAAATTATTTTTCAATTAATTGTTGCTTATGGTCCACATTTTCTATTTTAGGACAACCAAATCCTTGCCAGCCAGATTATGAAAAATTGAATTTGACTCTGGGAGCCGCTGCTATTAAGAAGATGAAAGTATATTTAACATATGAGGAAAATGAGTGGTGGCAGAACTTTTTCAGAAACCAAACATCTGTACAAAACAATGAAGCCATCTGGCCACTATCAAATATCGCAAAATTGCACAGATTAGAGGATATGCAGATAATTCCACAGGTTAATTTAGGAACTTCATGTTTAAGACCAATGTTAGATGCAGAAGAAGAAGTCAGGGAAGTATGTATGATTTTGCAGTTAAAAAATTTGTAATGATAATAATTTACTTAAAAAAGAACGTTGTTCATCAGCTGTTCATTTATTTAATATTACATGTAGGCCTCAGTTTACTTTTGTATGCGCATTTAACATAGTTATTGAAGATAACACTTTATATAATGTAAGGCATTATCTATTACTTCTTACATCTTCATGCGAATGTGGTTACTTGTCCAATGGTTTTCCTTTATAGAGTCATCAGTCTGCAGTATAACAATTATTTATTTAATTCTGATATTGATAGGAATAAGTAAAGGTACGAGTTATGGTTATGTTTATTCAATATTTTATTTCAAGTAACACAATCAAAATTTAACATTTACATTTTCACATATTGATAGTGATGGTTCATTATAATCCTTGTAGGTAACTAGAATGAGAGGATATATATTATATAGTATTGCACATGCCGACAGATTGCCTGTCTGTTCATAGTGGTTTCATTGGCAATCATACCACATCTTCATATATTTTTTTATGAATACTGATCATAAAAAGCTGATTTTTTGTTCTTTACTTTAAATGTAACTTAATCATTGTTGAATTCAAATATGTCATGGACACTATAATAAAAGAGGTGTGCCCATATTTTAATCACTTTATTCCTGTTTTTGATTTAAATGTTACATGTTTAGATAGTGTGCGCTATGTTTTATGTTTATTAATACTCAATTATGGTAGATCTATTTTTGTTTGTTATAGGTTGTTACAAAAAGAAGGAAGAACAAAACCGCTAGAAATACAGAGACCTGACTTTCTATCTATTCAACGAAAAAACATGCTACTGCATAAAAAGATTAAATATATATATAATAATGAAACCAGAATTCTACAGAGTTTGATTTCTGTAGTGAGCATTGACTTGCAAAACAAGAAACCAAATTCTTATTTAAGATCTGATAATGTCAACATCTCTTACTATGTGAATTGCACTAAATTAATTGTTAGCATTGATGTTTTTGATTTCTTTATAACATATACAATAACAGTATGACATACTTGATTACATATTGCATATGTATATTTGACTAATTTTTAGATCTACATTGAATATTATTGGCTTTCATGAATCAATTTGTGATAAAATGATAGAAAACTATTGCGTTGAAATGACATTACCAACATCAATGACTTGTAAAGCTTATAAGAGGAGATGACAATTATCAAACACATTTTTAAGTAGCTGTTGGCAGTCCTGAATATTTTTAGGTTCTAAAATATGTTCGTGTGGCAAAATGAGCAATATCTAAATACATGTATGCTTTTACTCATAGCATATTTCAAATTTGTTTTTCCTGAGTAATGGTTTTGACTGTACGGAGAAAATGCTAATTTTGAAGTTTGAAAACATCAAGCATAAAGCAAACATCATAAAATTATAATTATAGTTAGCCTTGACTAAATTTGATAAAAATGTTTTTGGAGACAAGTTTTGCTTTTTAATGTTTTATTTGTAATGGAAGGATCATTGACTAGGTAAGGTAGTATAATTTCACAATTCTATTCAAAAGATCAAACAACCAATATGCAGATGATCATATTAAATAAATGTTTTGCAATTGTTTGCAATATTTTTCTCAAACTACTTTACACAAGTTGGGTTTCATTGTGAAAATGAATACTATGATGGCCTATACTAAAGTAGTTGTTAATTTCTGTGTCATGTTGGTCTCTTGTTGAGAGTGATCTCATTGGCAATCATACCACATCTTTTTTATAAATACTAAATATGTTTTCTTTCAGTTTTTATAATTGGTGTTAGAAAATAATAAATAGATATAAGAAGATGTGGTATGAGTGCCAATGAGACAACTCTCCATCCAATTCAAAATTTATAAAAGTAAACCATTATAGGTCACAGTACGGTATAAGACTATTTTTAATACAAAGACTTTTTTCATTAGAGTACAATATCATACCAATTTTGTGGATTATATGATATGGTCATTGTAGTTACTAACAGATGGTAAATTATAATAGCAGGTTTAGTTCTAAGTTAGACAATTTTGAAAATAAATTTGTAGATAAAGAAGGTTTTTGTAATGACACGATTTTTTTTTTATACAAATTTTATTGTAGGATAGAATACTTTGAACATTGGTTTAGTATAGAAAATCTTAACCCTTGCAAAAACAAAAATAGAGTAGATCAAAAGTTTCATTGTTATAAAAAGTAATCATTCGACCAAATAACATATTTTCGAATATATGTAGTATTCTTATGTTATATATATATCTTTAAAATTGTTATTTAATTCTTGTGCATTGTGCCTTATACTGCATAAATGTATTTCTCATGTTTTGTTTTAAAAAAATAAAAATTATAACTTATATTAGAAGTAAATTAATGTGGCCAGCTGGTGATTGTGGTAAGCACAATACTAGGTTCATACATGCACTTGCATTTGATGTTTAACTTTCTTTTGGTTTACTCTTGTTTGTGTGTGTCATACCATGTATAGTAATTTGAATTGCTACCCATCTTGTTACATACTTGTTATCATCATTTTGGCTTCCTTAATTGAGAAAGAATGAAAGATAAAAAAACATAATGATACTGATATCCATGTGTACAAGTTTTTTTTCTGGAATTAACTTTATCTGGTCATCAAAGTTTTTGTGAAATTTACGTGCAAAACACGCAAACTACTGCTGCATTGTTTAGTTGAAACAAAATAGATTTTGTCGTGGATTATAACATCACATACTTTCTATTAGATTACAATCATCCCGTCAGACCTTCTCAATGCTCTGTAAATAACATTAGTTAATAAACTCATCATAGATACAAGGCTTAAAATTGTGTACACCAGACGTGAGATTCGTGTTCAAAAGTCTAATCAGTGACACTCGACTACAAAAAGTTCAAGATACCAAATAAAGTAAGATGTTGTTCAGCATTGAAGATCCAAAATTCCGAAAGATTTTGCCAATGGTACCTTACAGTTAAGGTAATCTATTCCTGGTACACATTACTAAGTTTTTGTTACCATGCAGGAATGGATTCATATTTGGATTGGAACTTTATTTTCTCCATTTATACTGTCATTTTCGATATGTTATTAGGCAGTAATAGAGAAGCTAAATACAGCAAAGGGATATTCAAATTCATGAGTTGTGAACAAACTTACAAGCCATGGCAAAATAATAAGAAAAACGACAAAATGACAAACAACAGTACACAAAACCCAACATAGAAAACTAAAGACTGGACATTACAACATGTACAAACTCACCTAAAAACCTTGAATTTGATGTTGATACTTTGAATATTAATTTATTGTGCCCACTGAGCATGGTTTTTCTCTCATTGTCGAATAAGAAAGGGACTATGCATTGACTTTGAACAGAATAGCATGTAAATACAACCGATATATCTGAAATGTATTGGCAATATTGATCTCAAGATATCACTTAGATCAGTTACTGTAGTAATCCAATTATCCTGCACTTAGAGGCATTTGGTTCTTCTATATCTGAATCAGCTCTGAATTCCCTCATCTATAGATTATGGGAAAACAACCAGGACTATCAACACCAAATTGTTCACTACGCTAAATAAACGTACACAAATCAAATGTCTGAATGATAACAACATTAAAAACCTGGTGATAGTTCGATCGTTTGTTCTTCAAAAATTGTAACATGAATTTAATTTTACATCTGATTTTCGAGTGAGTCTGAGACTACTATAACACATGTTTAGTAGTCTCAGAGTGAGTTAACTGTACTTTTAGAGGAATGCATGATCTGAATGAATTTTAATATTGCTGGGAATATTATATATGTTAGTTTAATAGTTCAAGGTTATTGTACTATCCAATCCCGTTGCCCGCTTGTCATAGTAAAACAAATAATTTGAGGAGCCTATACCAGTGCTCTAACTTCCATGTCATAAGCTGTTAATGTACTACCTGGTCCCGCTTCTTTGGATTTGTAAACAGTGAACAACAACAAGAGGTAAATTCAACATTTAGATTTAAATAAAATGCATTTATAATGGGGGAATAATGCTAGCCCTAGCACATAACTGACCCTAAAGTTAGTCTTATTGTAATCTTGAATTATACACTGGTTCTCTAGACTTGAAGCAAATAATAGCCAAAGCGTACAAAAAGGTATAACGTCGAAGTCTATATAGTTTTAATTCACTTTTTCGGTGTTTGGTGTGTTCGGTGGTGAAAAGACCTACCGATCTGAAACCGTGGAACATCATTTCAGGATAAACATTTTTAAATTACTCCTAGTGTTAATCACATCACAAAACATCTAGATAACAGATAGCCGGACGACATTTTGCCAATACTTTATTGTTTTTAGTTATTTCCACGGTATTTCAGAAATTTAACGGACAAAGTTTTAAATCTATTTATAGCTAAAGTTGTTTAAATTTCGAAATGACATCTTATATCCTGATGATTTACCCCAAGAGGTTAACAGGTGCAAAACTTTGAATATTACTTAAAGGACGAGGGATCAAATTGTATTATTACATTGGTAGCATTGAATTACATTGATTTCCCAGTCAAATAAAAACCGATAATTTCACATGTGAAATAAACGTGGTTATTTCACTCTCTGACGTCATACAACAATAGGCGTTGTCAAGACGTCGATGACGTCGGATCAAAACAAATTGTGAATGCGTAGAAAAAAGATATAGTTCCTTACATTTTCTACATTAATTTCATTAAAAAAAGCCATTTGCCAATGTAATAAAAAGAATAACTAATCAAAGAATTCAAATATCGAAAAATATTCAACGAGTGACCGAACAACACTGATAATTAACTCGTGCGCTACGCGCATTCGTGAATTAATGTGTTGTTCGGTCACTCGTTGAATATTTTTCTCTATTTGAATTCTTCGATTAGTTATTCTATAATTATCGAACAAGCTTAAAGCGAATGCACATTACGCAGTTCTGTCCAAATATAAGACAAATATTATTACTTATGTTATCATTGCATGTATGATCTTGCAGTTGTGAGCGACCATTTTCTGCACTACGGCAACTTAAAACTTGGAACAGTTCAACAATGACCGAAAGTATATTGAGTGGTCTTGCTATATGCTTCATGTACACACTGAAAGAAATCGGATTCAGATACTAGGTAAGCATCATGTCTGCATAGCAATGTAAATTTCGCTACCAATAACATGTGAATAATTCTGTTGTAGTGTAAAGAAGTCTAAGACAGAATGATAATTTATTACGTAATTTACAAAGTTTCTAAAGATAGTTCGAAAGTTCAATAATTGTTTTTCACTGTGACACTGGCCGTGATCTGACGAATTCTCACATGAACACGTGATCGTATAGCGGTATAACTGTTCGGTCCTGATTAAGTCCAGCCTACCCACGAGGGGGGAGGCCTTGGTGGAATCTCCTGTCGGAATCTGCCGTTCTAGTCCAAAGATGGATCTTATATAGTTCAGAGGGATCATCAATCAGCTTTCAACAATAGCCCATAACTGTCGGTATAGTTTACAAAGTAGTCTAGTTGTTGAATAATACATGTACTAGGTCAAGCATCGGACAATGCAATTAACATCTGCAGGATACATGTTAATTAAGCCGTGGACGTTGTCATTAATTGTCTGCAAGGTATATGTACTATAATATTCGTGCACATTGTTATTAAGTGTCTGCAGGATACATGTACTTATATCAATTAAGTTACATTCCTCAATGCTCTTCAACTTCGTACTTTACTTGTCCTTTTAAACATTTTTTTGATTCGAGCGTCACTGGTGAGTCTTTTGTAGACGAAACGCGCGTCTGGCGTAAATAAAAAAATTTAATCCTGGTATCTATGATGAGTTTATTTACAACCACTGGGTCGATGCAACTGCTGGTGGAGTTTTAATTCCCCGAGGGTATCGCCAGCCCAG